CGAAAGTTTGTGAAGGAATTTCCAGATTTTAGCTAATTCATCGAATTAATTTTTTTATTTTAATTCTATTGTTTTAGTTTACTTTTATTTATTTTAGTTAATTATATTAATTAGTGTTTGAATTTAGAATAAAATGGAAATTTGACCTCGCAATTTAATCTGACACAATGCTAAATCTTTCATTACAATTAGTTAATGTTTTTAATTTCGTTTTTCTTTTCTAATTTGGTTCTAGTTTCGTTTACAAAGCAGGAAGGGTTGGGTAAATTTTGTTTTCTTTTTTAGGAAATTATTCTTGGAAAATTGATAAGGAAGATATTTATTTAATGAACAGAATATTTACACGGCATCGTTGTATTCAATTTTTAGGGCAAAAGGACTCGTTCCAGTTATTTTATTGTTTACTAGACCTATCACAGAATTAAGAATAGTAAAAATTCGTATTAACCAAAATTCACATTGACAAGATTTTTATAAATAAAATCTCGATTCGTTCCAGTTATTTTTATAAATATCAATTGAAATTTCGAAAACATTAATGGTATTTGGAATCCGTTTAATCGTTAATATGAAGTGGAGTCATAAGGAAATCTTGGAATGTGTTTATAATAGAATATGTATAATTTAATATAGTAAAAATGTTAACATTTTAATCTTTTTATCTCCAGATAGATACAAAATTACCTAAAACTATTGTAATATATAATTCAGTACTGGTGATCATGAACAAGTTTTGGTTCTTTGTTATTATGCAAAATTCTGGAAATAGTGTCAATTGCAAAGAAGACAATTGAATTTTAATCACCATTGTTCACCCGTAATTATTCTTGTCCCAATAAATTTTTGTGGTGTTTATGATATGTAATTTATCTATATTAAGAATAGTCAAATTTCAAAAATTATAACAGAATCGTAATACATCGTATTCATTTCTAGAATTTGTTTTTAATTATAATTTTATTACTAGTATATTAATATCAATTTTAATTGAGTATTGATCCATGATGACTCAGAGTTTCGGCACTCTAAAAAATATATACAGTGGGTGATCGGTTAACGAACATAATCCGTTCCAAGACTTTGTTCGCTATCCGAATTGTTCGTTAATCGATTATCGATTTATCGTAGGTTTTAATGGGAATTTAATTAATTCGTTCTGGAGACCCAAAAAATAAAAAATATATACTTTCTTACTACGTTTATAAATATATTATAAATATATTAAAAATATATGTAATAATAAAACTACAGTACATACATACACAGTCTTGCGTTTTTATTAGTCATGCTTTTTCCGTTTGAAAGAGTTAAAGAACCTGTCTAGTGTCGATTGCTTTTCTCTCTTCTTCAGGATTTTTCGTAAGTAATTGCAATTTTAGAGATCCCTAAGCCTCAACCTGGTTTGGATACCATTCTAAGACCGTTGTTCTGACATCCTCCCACTTCTACAAAGGATCTTTAATAACAGATATCGGCATTAATCCTCTTTTTCAGAAGAAAACGTATCTCGTCGAGTTTCTTGGTGTTCTTCATTCAAGAGTTCTTGGCGTTCTTCTGTCGTCAGATCCGTTTCAGGTTCCATTATGAACTCTTCGATGTTCTTTATTTCTCAGATGTGATTTTTGTTACTCCTTTAGCTGCTTGAGTCTTCTTGATTATACAGTATTTTTCTTAAATAAGATTGAACTGCGGCCTACTGTAGACCTGTTCACGCCATACTGCCCAGCAACATTAGGCATCTTCTGCCCACTCTCTACCTTTGCTATTATACTCTCACCTTTCGAAAAGAAAAACAGACGCAAAACTTAACGAGTGCCTACCCGACAGTCTCGCGAATACATAAAAGAATTGTTTTGTCAGAAAAATAAAAGGCTGGAATTACAAGGGAGAGTTTCAAAGTTCGGAGGAATACTATCCGATCGGTATATACCGGCTTGAGCGTCGATGTCGACGTCTCCCACACTCCGAAAAGTTTCGAATTGTTGCCCGAAGACAAGGGAAGATCAATCGGTATTCATTATTTTACACCGCTTCTTCTTGTGTTGTTCTGTGGGGTGTTCGTTATCCGATCATGTGTTCGTTGTCCGAACATAAAAATCTTTCGCGAAAGTGTTCGTTATCCGATTTGTTCGTTAACCGATCACCCACTGTATATATATATATATTATATACAGTGTATATATTTTCTAAGGACCGAAGCTCTGGGTTGCAATATTGCATAAATTATATATACATATACATACATACATACATATATATATATTTCACGAAATATGTACTTTGACATGTACAAATTAGATACATATAATTTATGCTTCATATATACGAGTATATTGTGTGTACGCACATTACATGTATACAGTTTGCTGTTCAAAATGAATAAAATTTGCATTTTGCAACACTGATAACACTGCAACAATAATAAAAAAATTTTTTTACCGTTGTAAAAAAATCGGCTCTTAATTAACAGTGGCAGGAATTTCTGCAGGTTTCTGTTAAAAAACTCTTATTGTATTCAAAAATACAATAAGCCAGTTTTTAAACAGAATTAAAAAGATTGAAAATGAAAAAGATTGAAAATGAAAAAGATAATGATCTTTTAAATAACAATATTAAAAGAAATCTGAAATTTTTAAAAAGCTTTAGTTTACATAAGAATAAAAAACACATTAAGTTTTTTAAGAGTAGCCACTATCTTTGTTCGATCTGCTAATTATTTCCTCAGTCCTCGACATTACTCGTACTTTACAACTTCATTGCTATACATTCTTAATGCATAATTTCATCCTCATTTTATGAAAAAAGTAGAAATTTATATGTATTTGAATAAAGTACTTAAATATTCATTAACTGAATGATAAAAAATTTTGTTTTATGAATTTTAATGGCGAGTTTGTTATATACTTACATGTATAATTTTTACAAAGATAAAAAATTTTTTTACGTATTAGTAAAAATGCATGATGTTTAAAATATTCTCAATACGTTGCAAGTTTCAAAACTGTACTTTATAATTGAATACAGTACAGATAAGTTTTCTTACATAGATCAAGTGTCTTGTGCAAAATGTACAAATAATGTATAATTAAAATANAACAGTCAACTAAATTTATTAACAAAAAAACTTGAAAGGTTTTCTTTAACTAAATTCCCTTATTTCTTATTTCCGCTTGTATTTTTAGCTCATTCTTGTTAAAAATAATTATGAAATCAATTTTTTTTCAAATTATATGACTTCAACAGATATAACTTAAATTTTTTTTTTCTTATCATTGTTTTTCCATGTTATATGACTCATTAAAAGTTAAAATTTGTAGATTTGTACAATAATGGGAACAAATCCGATAACGTAAATGAATATAGATTTTTTTAAAACGAAATTATGTTTAATTCTACTAAATTTATAAGAATATTTTGAATTTATGAAATAACCTAATAACCTCTTTTGCTGTATATTTAAACATGTAAGAAGAAAATTAATTTAAAAAAAACCAGTAAATAAACAAGAAATATGTTCAATTACAAGATATTTTATTAATAAAATTTATAATATTTAATATTTATAACTATAGAGATAATTATTTTTGATTATAGGATGCTGTTACCGTGATTTAAAAATTGAATATTAATATTTATTTCTAAGTTTAGTCGGCGTATTTTTAAAACGATATCTTTTTAAATAAGCGCTTACTCGCATCTACATTAAATCAATATTGTCGCAAAGGGATAGAGACGACTGTATCATTTGATTTTTTAGCAAACTAATAAATATACTGTAAAAATTTATACGTAAAAGAATGAAATGCATAATTGACTGATGATGACCTTAGTAAAAACAAAAAAGCGATATGGTTATTTAATGATAAGTATGATGCGGAGCCAGTGTCCTAGCACAGAACAGTTCTAGAAACTTCCTGGATGTATGCCAAATTCAATGTCCTGTACACCTGATGCCGTTACTGAGAAAGCACATGTCCGGAATTCTTTCCGGACCGGAACGTAATATAGGGTAGGCTGTAATTCGAAGAAAGATTTTTTTTTTTAAATATATGATTTTTGTAATGGCTGCTACTTATTAAAAGAATTATGGCAGTGAAGTACAGTACATTACTTCATGTTTTTTATCAATCACTCACTATGTTATCCACAGTATTACGACTAGTTTTTACACTTAAGACTATTGATCTTCTATTTAGTTTGTTATTCAATTTTATAAGACACTATTTGGAATGTAGCTGTAATTAAAACAGAGGAAACAAATACATTCCATAAAAATATTTCATTATAATTACATATTGGCCTTTGTAAATCATAATCTAGTAGACCTATAATGTTAAAATTCACTAATTATGCTGTTTTGACAACATTTGATATTAATACTTGGCTTTTAATATAGTACTTAAGGTCTTTAGAAATATGATAAAACATATAAACTAACTACAAAAACAGTTTTTGTTTTTTATTTACAGATTTAATCGTAAATTATGAATCTCTTCGTTTCTCTTTAGATAACAAAGAACATGATATTCTTGTTTTAAGTAGAGCCTATTAAACATCTTGAAAAAATTATTCGTATTATTATTTTTTGTCCCGGTTAAAATGTTTGTTTTTTTTAAATCTATAACTATCCATTTGTAATGTGAGCAATAAATAAAATGTTTTTATAGCCATAAAAAGATTTAATACTTAATCCAAAAACAGAGTTATTTGAAAAGTAAATATCATCTTAATATGTTTGTTTGTGATGTGTTATTCATTTCTACAAGTTCTCTCCTTTTCTTTCTTTATGAATAAATTGACCTACTAGCTTTAGTTTTAGTATTTTAGAATATATTACGATGTGTATTTTTTAACGTAGTAATTTCTTCGATATAAATTTGTGTTTCAGTGTTCATACAATAGCATAGTCTCATCTCATCTATATTATTGATAATAGCCTGCCTATTTTCAATTATAAAAAGTTTATCAATATTTAAATAATTTTTACTTACAATGTTTTATTTATTTAGACATACTAGGCAGAGCCCATGATGCGGGGTATACAATAATTCGTTACGTGTACATTACAAAAAAATATCATAATCCATCCATTATTACAGAGAAAATTAACATATACATAAATCAAAACAAAAATTATACAAGTATTATTATAAACATCAAAAAACATCAAAAATAAATATCTGAAAGCCAAATATCCAAATATAAACATATAACATAATAACAAAATTCATCATGGGGAGAACTATCCAACCAAAAACATCATTATATAAAGAAAAAAACATTAATTACACCCACCTATAAAAGAAAAAGGATTCAATTATCTTATCCAAAATGTGGATAGTCTCCCAACACTTCTTAGCCACAAGCACACTTTTAAGGAAAAAACAAATGCCACCTTTCGGCAAAAACGAATACTCCAATATGCAAAATAAACAACGATGTACGTCACTCCGTACAAGGGATCACTAAAACAAAATAAAAAATCAACAAAGATTACCTAAAAAATAATTTAATTTTTTGAACAAAATTAATTAAATCGAAATTACTTATATTAGTAATAAGTTCCAAAAAATTCTCCAACGGAATAATAGAAGTTCCAAACACACTTTCCCGAATTTTTTCTAACTTAGAGCATTTAGCAATCACGTGAAAAGCATCCAATAGCTGATCATCCTTACAATACATGCAAATTTCTCTGCGATAATTCTGTAAAAAATTAAGGGAATTACATCTGATTTGCATTACTGTGGCACCAATATTAAAAGAAAAATTATTATTATAAAGCGGACAGTCAAAAAAAGACTTATTTAAGTGCTTATACCAATCATTATAAGAGCTTGCATTAACTCGTTGATTCAAATCCAGAATAAAATTATCAAAATAATTTAATTTCAAAATAGAACAACTATCATGCTTATTTAATAATTCCTCAAAATTAATACCATTATTAACACAAATTTCCCTTAGACTTTTAGACCACAGAAAGTCCTTCTTATTAAGCACATAACACAAACAAATTCTACTCCATCGTTTTTCATCCAATGCAATAGTCCTAAAAGTCCAGTTCAAACATTTATTCAATAATGTAAAAGACAAAGGTAATAACGAACATTCCATAAAAATCAAATAATTTGGGGTGCAACGAGACAAACCAAATAACTTTTTTATAAAATTAACCAGAACCGGATCCAATTCGTCATATTGGTATCCCCAAACCTCAGATGCATATAACATAGATGATTTAACAATTGAATTGAAAATCCTTAGACAATCTTTCAAATTTCGCAATTTCGCCGATCTACACATTTGAATAACTTTATCAGTTTTAACAAAGGCATTCTTTTTAACAGTCTGAATATGATATTTAAATTTACCATTAAATCTGAATACAACACCCAGATATTTATATTGAGAAACTATCTGTATTACATCATTCCTAAACCACCATTTATCCAATTTAGCAAGTTTACCACCATTACGGAAAACAACAACTTTAGATTTCATAATATTCAAGCTCATATTATTTTCTAGTAAATACTTACAATGTTAATATTGCATCACAATATTACTTAGAATGATTAAATTTGTTCAAGTTTATTCAATGTTTTCCTGAAGACAATTTTCCCATATAAGTTTCGTGTTTGTGCTGAACTGTTTTTATCTGATCTTTGAATGTTGAACCATTGCATTTTTTAATCGCTGCTACATCTCTACAACAAAAGTAATGTGCGTGTCAACAAAATGTATTATTCATTTTTTACAACTTATCTGCCTATCTTAAAGAAAATATCTCTCAGAGATGTTCTAATATTCAAGAATGGTATGTCTTTGGAGGTCAATGCCAACAATTGTGCTAATGCCATGTTGAACTTAAGTTCCAACAGTATGTGTTTTCTAAATTTGATGGCACAGTAATCTGTTTTTTGCTCTAAACGGTTCTGGTTTGGATCAGAATTTAGAGCATTAGCTATTATCTCACTGTCAGTTATTGTTTGTGCATTATCTGGTGTTTTTGAAGTTAATCTGCTGGCTCATTATATTTGTTTTAAAGTGGATGGAGATTGTAAATTATATACGAATGCTGGTTTGTGTTTGAGTAACTGTTGTTTATTCTGTGACATTTAAATATTGGTATTTTTCTCTTGCTTAATACATGATGTTTTTAGATTTATAAACCTTTGTTTTTAAATTGTTATCTGAATAGGCGCATAATTAACGTGTTTGTCTTTTGCTCGTGAAGACTGTTAACGTACTCTGATAATTTCCATAGTTTTTGATAAAACGTTTCCTATGAAATAATTTCGACTATTACAGTTAAACAAAATATTTTACATCTAAATCAATAGTAATATTATTTCTGCCTTCTAAGTGAGTAAAATAATTTATTATATAGAACCTTTTGCTCTAAATGCACATAATTTCTGTCTTGTTATCTCTCACATTATTTTTAAAATAATTAAAATTTAATAATTTCCGAAATACCGAATGAAACGTCAAGAGTGATGCATTCACATTTTCAGTAGTATTAGTAGCAAGATATTTCTATTATTGATCTTTGATTTCAGTGTTTCTTTTTTCTTTTCTTTTTTATCACATTACACCTGAGGCTCCATTGCATCTACCAAATCTCACAACAAATATTTTCGAAAATCTTAGATTATTCTATACAACTTTAACATGAAAAAATCCGGAATTTTTTAGTTTTTATTTACACTTTTTTCAAAATTTTGATATTTTTTACATTCAAAATGCTTACTTCATTTTAATTTTTATATTTTTTCCTGACAATTTTCCAAATTTATATTTTAATGTAAACTGTGGCTTTTCCTTCATTTTAGCAAATTAATCAAGATACAGAAGCTAATAAAAAATTTGAGACTGTTTTCTATTCTAGCGATTTTATATCAATTATTGCTCAGACATATTAATTAAATATTGCAAACTAATTAATTTATATTAAAATTTAAATTAATCAAGTTATTAATGAAGTTCAAAATAAATCAATTATATTTAAGGAATCTCTTTCATTGGAGGTGCAACAAAAACTATTTAAATTATACAATGTGATAGTGATATAACAAACAAAATAACACCATGTATAAAATTAAATCCCCATTACATAGTTCAGTATTTAATTATCTTGGTCAAATATATGTTATAAAATAAACATATTTTTAATTGAAAGTAAATACAGTATAGGAATTACGGTTTTCATTTTTTTTCCGTTCTATTTCAAATAAATTATTATTTGAACAAAGTATTTTTTAAAAAAAATATTTTAAAGTAATATTTAAAATATAAATATTATAAATCTTTTACGAAATATTTCAAAAATCATAACATAAAAAATAAAAATGCAAAAACATAAACTCTTCAATAATTTTTGAAACTCGAACTTCGATTTCGTTTTTAGATTCAGTTAAATTAAATTATAATTTTCATTAGTCTGCCTAATTTAATTATTTCAAAATATTTTCTAATTTAATTTTCCGTATTTTTAATTAATTAATTGATTCTATAATTTAATTAAATTGTTTAAATTTATTTATTCGCCTGATTTAAAGAAATTATTCCGATTCTTATCCATAGAATTTATCAATTACGTTAATTTATTGTATTGTTTAAACTTTCTACTGTATTTACTGAAGTTATACTTTCATTTGATTTACTTTAGATATTTAATCTCTCTTAAGTCTTATATAATTTCATTAATTTATGTAACTTTTAGATGCGTTTAATTAATTTAAATAATAGATTATCGTCTTCTGATTAATTAGGAGTATTGCTTTGGAAAATCAGCAATTTTATGAATAAAAATGTTGATTGGTAAACAAAGAATTGTAATAAAATAAACAAATAATATTTATAAATAAAGCTTAAGAATATATAAAAATCATGATTATATGATAAAATCGAAAAATTTCATATAAAATTCCCTTATTACCCATAGTGGGAATATGCTTAAAAATATAATAAACTTTATATCTGTAATTGTGATCAAAGTTAAACAAATGTTTTATTTTTATTATTCATGTATTATAAATTTCTTTTGCCGAAATATAGATTAAAATTCTTATATTTATAAAATTATATACTTTTTATTATATATTTCTATTACATTTAACTTACAGTATATTAAAATATAATGTTTTGTTGTAGTTAACAGTTCTTTTAAATTTATATTCACAGAGGTATATTTCACATTGAATATAGAATTAAATAATAGAATAATTAAAAAACAAATATAGAATATATTTGTTTTTTAATTGTTATTCTTCAAAAGTAGAAATTTCGTTAATAATAACTAACCAATTAAGTATTTAATAATATCGAAGTCAATTGCTTAATCACTTATTTTGTTCATTATAAAACTCATCTACAAAATCTTTTTCTGTGTCTACTTACAAATTAATTGTCATCGGAATTTATACAAATATAGCATATATATATATAAAATTAATTCTCTTTTATTCTCTTTAATTAATTTAATTTGAAGACTAATACGATTTATTTATATGATAATCATTCTCATTAATATATGTTAAAATCTTGTGAGATTTTCATATATTAATGAGATTACGTACGTAGATATGTAAAATTGATCTGAAAGATTAATACAAACATTTTATTGTATGATAAAAGCTTTTGGACAAAAGAAAATAGCAATAAGGATTGCCAGAGACGACGTTAGAATAAGAAAAGAATTGAGGTACAAGAATAAAATTTCGAAGCACGCCTGAATAAAAACGAACATATTTTCTAATGAACTTTAATGAAAATAATTTTCAATTATAATAATACATACATAACTGGTTATATCAAAACTAATAATTATTTTTATAATAAATACTGTATATAATTTATTACATATTTATAATGTAAAACAGATGTATCCACTGTAAATCTATAGTGGATGACAATAATTGTTAAAATATCTTGATTTATTTCCTTTTTTTCTGTAGTTTTTTTTAAATAGGCAATTATTTTTCTTTGAAAAATGATATCAATAACTTTTTTTATAGACAAAACAACAAGATATTCAAGTCAAATAGCTGTTTCAAAGTACTTCTGCAACTAGTGTATATATGTAATCTTCTTAATGCACTACAGGACCTTCCACAACTATTAACTGGATTGACTATAGAACTATTGTTATTAATTTGGATAGCATCGAAAATATTAAAGGATCTGTTAACTGATAAATACAATCTATATTCAATTGATCCATCTAATAATTAATTTTTTGGGTTTTAGAGTACAACGTATGTTGTAATATTTAGACAATACAGATAAATCAAGTCAAAAATTTTTTTGAACTTTGAATGTTTGAAACTTTAAAAATACGTTATATTTGTTCTTTTTTTTAAATAATACAATTTAATTTTCAAATTATTGATTGTAAGCGAATCTTTTTAATCGTCAGCGTTTCTATGATTATTATTTGTTGAATACTTTTCTATTATTTCTTTGTACAGTAGACTCGAAAACTCGGTCTAATGTGGACCGAAGGGTGGCCGAGTTTGTGAAAATGCCGGGTTATCGGGAATGGGTTTAAAAAGATAAGTACGAGTGTTTCCTCAGAAAATACTGTACTGTACTTGTATGTATTGTTTACTTGAGAATACAACAGAGAATAAACTGCCCAAATACCCTTAAACAAAGGAAAAGTACATCCTTTATGAAGGCATAGAGCCTTTACTACATGAAAATGAAAATTAATGAATACACTGTGCACAGTAATTTACCTGATAAGACAGACCTCAGAAAAATACTTTATGAGGCGTAAAGCTGTCTATAATGAAAATTAATTAACTAAGGATTTTTTTGCCCTGCCAGGGTGTGACCGAGTTATCCGGACTACCGGGTTATCGAATGCCGAGTTTTCGAGACTCTACTGTATCATATGAAGAAGTAACAAAGACATTCCATAAAACTTTTTCATCAGTAATCATTACTTACAGAATAAAAGCTAACCCACTTTTACGTTCTACTATTGTGTCAAATTAATATCTTCATTTTATAATATTTTATGTTAAACTTCGACTGAGAGGATGCCCCAATACTAAAACTAAAGCATGGTATTTAATCTTTAAAGTTTTGCTAATGGACAACAGGCTACTACGGGGTTACTTTCTGTAAGAGTATATTATAAAATGACTGAATAATTTATTATAGTATTGATAGAAAGAATTTGATACAATCAACAAATATCAATTATATTAATTTACCATTTTTAATTTTATTTGAATATTATTGAGATTTTACTGTTGATAAAATTTAAAAATGTATAAACTCTTATATTAAAGTTTCAACTTGTAAAATTGATTTGCATATATGAAAAAGTAGCAAGTTGGGTTTGAGTGCATTAGCAATATATATAAATAGTTCCATATTATATTTCCGGAATTTTATTTGCATGTCATTATTGACATTTCTCATTAAATTGTATTGCCGAATTTTTAACTCATATATCTTACATTATTTAATCTTCGTTACTAAATAAGTCTGTAAAGCTTTTATAATTGAATCTATATCAGAATTTGTAATCCAATATATCTAAAGTAATGCTCTGTACTGAATTTAATATGAATTAACATATCGTACACATGATGTTAATCATTATTTTTAGTTCATGTTATATTTTAAAAATGAAAACGTCTCGTTATTTTAATTCTTTGAAAATATACTGTAATTCGTTATTTCTTCTGCATAAAAGTACAAAAAAATATGTGACATTTTTTAATAGTTTACAAG